GTAGTGTCTGTTCTTTTACTGAACTAAATTATTTTTATTTCTATAAAAAATCAAAACGACGGTGGGGGTCGGTGACGACTGTGTGACGTCACACAGACAGGCATCTGAGATCGGCTCGATTTGAGAAAGGGGTAAAGATTTTAGTAGATAAAAAAAAAAACACTGGGTGGATTTTTATCATTATAAGGTGGTTGTGTACACACACTGCCAACACACATTTCAGTTCAAACAACATGTAAAAGTGCATGTAGCATATGATGACCCCTTTAAGAATGGTTCAAACAGAAAATAGGAAAAAGCATTGAGAAGTAAAAAGGTAAGAGTACAAAGATGCTCTTTATAAATTCTGGTCCTGGTTTATGTTGTAGGTGTAGTTATGGAAGTGGGCAGACAGGTGTCAAACCGATGACCAAATGAGAGCCACATCACATCTTTATCTGCATAAAGTGTAGGTGGCATACATCTTTTTTTATTTTTTGAAAAAATGTTTCAAAATCATTCATCAATCCAAAGCATTTTGAAGGGTACCTTTACATTTTGATAGAAGACATTTTAACTAGAATAATGTCAACAATTACTCTATTATCATCACAACACGAAAAACACAATGCCATGCAATGAAATTAAAAGGAGACAGATGCTGTCAAGCTATAAAAATCACAAAAAGCACTGTTAATGTAATAAAGCTATAAATTGATTGGTGTGCTACTGTGTATTACTTTTGAAAGTCTGCTAAAAGACATAATTCTTTCTTTTAATTTTAAAAAATTATTTATTTTCCTGGTGAGTACTTTTTAATGAAGACATATGACAATGCAGATCATTATTTACTGAAAACTATATTCAAAATGTCACATGGTCACTGGTTACAAAACATGTGACCACAAGGCATTGATCATCAATGATGTCAATCATGGCTTTTCAGTGAGTAGAAACGTTTTTTGTTCCTTTTTGCAATTTCATGAAAGTCGGCATAAAATACACCCTCTGTTTTTAAATGTATCTTGTGAACAGTTCATCCATGCACATCTTTCTTTTCATTTTTGTCTTCCCTCTAGTAACGTATGCTGGACTTTTCCAATCATTTACTATTTATCCAATCAACAACCAACGATAGAACCAAGTCATGCACTACATTTATACTTTTTTTTGATAATCTGTTTCACTCAAATGTATTTCACAATGCAGAAGAAAAGCTCTGTCGCTACTCTTGTTACAACATAAACAACTTGATAAAGTGAGAAGCAGAAAGACAACAGATGTTCGTGTATTTTGCATCTCCTACCAGTTCTTCGTCCTTCAGTGAAGAGCGTGCAGCTAATGCATGAGAGATCCCTGCTTTCCTGGACTGCACAAGAGACTGCGAGGGGAGCAAAGGTTGAATATGAACATGTGCCTAATTATTAACAATTAGTAATAGTAGTACTCATTATACCATTTTCTCCCAGTAGGTTTAGCAAAACTGCCTTTAATGTTTCCTTAAACACCTGGTAAATGTTGTTCTATGCTTGTGTCTTCTACATTCCTGCCATTAAGGGCACCATGTCTAATTAAATAGCTTTTAGCATTTCATAGCTAACTTTGTAAATAATAAAAAGAATAGTACCAACAACACACAAAAACCAGCCTAGATAGACCGTTGATACATCATGCTGAACTCTCAGTGGTTGTTACATAGCTTAAGGCAGACCAATACTCCAAAGATTGATTTTCCATGAGAACAGAGATAAGAGCACAATTTTTATCCTCTCATAGATAATGACAGTGATTCAAACACGCAAATGGCCTGGCTTTATCTTTTCTCGAGCCACCAATTGCTCAGCAAGTCAACTGTGGTACAGGGTGAGTGAGGGGGCTGGCAGGTCATGGGCAAGGTTCAGTCAATGAAGAAAAGGCCTGAAAGCTAACTACAAGGATCGATATTACATTGCTAAGAGAAATGTCATTTCTACAAACAAAAAGAAAAATCAAGTTGCAGCGTCATACAAATCCAATGAAATCAGAGTATGTTATCGCTTGTATATCATGATGGCACATCTAAATGATTATTAACAAAAAGTATACAAATTTAGACACAAATAATAAAGGATAAAACATATAATATTTATCCCTTGTATAAAATTATTAAATGCTCTAATTATGGGTAACATTGTAAATGTTAAATGGCAAAGCAAGTGTTTAACCAATGAACACCACTATTATGGAATATATTATTATTGTTATATACACCACTTATTATTTTTATTGTTATATACACCACTATTGTGGAATATATGTGACCCTGGAGCACAAAAGCAGTCTTAAGTCGCTGGGGTATATTTGTAGCAATAGCCAAAAAAAACATTGTATGGGTCAAAATTATTGATTTTTCTTTTATGCCAAAAATCATTAGGATATTAAGTAAAGATCATGTTCCATGAAGATATTTTGTAAATTTCCTACTGTAAATATATTAAAACTTAATTTTTGATTAGTAATATGCATTGCTAAGAACTTCATTTGGACAACTTTAAAGGTGATTTTCTCAATATATTGATTTTTTTGCACCCTCAGATTCCAGATTTTCACATTTTCAAACCGTACATCAATGGAAAGCTTATTTATTCAGCTTTCAGATGATGTATAAATCGCAATTTTGAAAAATTTACCCTTATGACTAGTGTTGTGGTCCAGGGTCACATATTATTATTGTTAATAATGTTACTCTTTGTAACTTCTATGTATGTTATTATATATTAACTTCTAATGATAAAATGTTTTAATATATGAACATATTGACATTTAATTAGGCAACGTTCAAATGTAGCGTCCAAGTTTGATTACACAGAAATATTTGACCACCAAATTCAGCCACTGACCATTCAGAATCGAGTTTTCCAGAGTTGTGCAATAACCTGTGTTTATATTCAGCTTAAAACAACTTTTACAAAACAAGAAGCGTTTGTTGGCATGAAAACTGCTGTGCAAGTCACAAGCTTCAGATCAAGCCTGTTTTTATTTTGCTTTTTTTGTCCCCTCTACAGCATGTCAAATGTATCTGTGTAGGTTTCAGCTTTATTGTGTCGCAACAAAGACTGACTGATGAAAGTTCCCCATTTCTGACTCATGGGCATGCCAGTGAACTGGAGGAGAAGACGAGCACTTCAAATAGAGCTCTGTTTCTCAATCGTAAGCACACTTGTCTGGTTTTTAATGCACCAGTCACATAAGATGTCCCTCTTTAAAGGTGAAGAGAAGACATTCAATTACGAGATTGCAGGAAAATTACATTGACACATTTACAACACCAAAATCCATTATAAACAAAAACAGACCACTTGTAATATCAAACCCTTCTGAGACAGGATGTCATTCATTGGTGATATAGTATTACTGCTCTGCAATCGCACCAGAATCGAGCAGCAAATCAAAGATGATGGTATCACACACTGAAAATGAAACTGAGCATTTTTGACATATAATTACATCTGTACAATCTATATTATATTTTTTTGTGAAAAAAATGACAGCAATTTTGCCTTCAGTGTGGACAGACAAATTGCTTGTCACTGGGATCTTCTTACATCATGTCTTTTTAGGACACCGTGTTATAGCTTAAATAACAATTTAGACCTAAAAAAAATGAAAACTTATGCCAACAAAATGTGTAGGATACAGGAATCCCTTTCAGTGTGCTTTGAGTAAAAGCTGAAAAAACTAAAAAATATATATTTACAAAGCATTCACTAATAGAAAGGTTTACTTACCATGGCCTAGTAATGAAGGAAAGCATTAAAAAAATTATGACAAAAGATCAGATCAGATTTCAGTTATATTAGATAAGAGTTAAATTACAATTGAAGATTATAATTACTAATATTTTAATATAATTAGTAGACAGGGAAATATTACCAAAAATGTGACAATGTTGCGTTTCAATATGGAACAATATGAAATAATAATAATAATAATAAAAATCACTCACCACTTCGCTAACCAAGGGGATAGACTTCTTCTTCCTAAGGTCAGGCATGCTATCAATGCCAAATATTCCTCCTCCCCTAAAGATAATATTATGGATATTCCAGTAATGGAAAAATTAATGTTTGGTAAAGAACAGTTAAACAACAACACGGTTCAAACAGTGAAAGTGAATGAGTAAGAGGTCATACCCAGGTTTGGCCCATGGATGTTTGTTATGGTCTCCATTGATGTTCTGTTGAGAGGTTGATCAAATTGTGATGCATTAAAACAAATATTAAATGTTAAAGCTTCACATAGACAACAAAAACAGCACTTAATAAAAATGTGGGAAATAGGGAGAAAGAGGAATAGAGAAAGCCCTGCCATTTGGTTGATTGAATTTCACCACTATATTCATGAATATACAAGTAGAATGTTCCAGTCATGAGAACAATTCTAGTCAAGACAAGATTAGACATGCAAAGGCTCAGAACTCTCTAATGTAACGTCCTGTCAGAAAATCACAATTTAATTTACTTTCAAGATGCACAATAGTAACCTCAATCTAACAAGAGAAAAGTATTTTTGCTTTTGATGTAAATGCAGAAAGATAAAGGCTTATATTTCAAAGAAGCAATTATATTAAGCTTTGTAAAAAAAAAAATAGAATAAACAAGTTAGAAAATAATTTAATAACTTTAAAATATTTTTATATTTAGAATTTTTTTTTTTTTTTACTATTTAATTAGGCCAAATTATTGAAGTAGCATGTATGCCACCTCTGTGCTGTGTCAAAAAACAGACCATTTTATCTCTTAACTTAACTCATTGTTTGGCAACTAAATGAAGCATTTCTTACTCCAAAAGAGATTAATTGTTAATGTAATTGCAACAAAATCAATAAATTCCCTATGCAAAATAATTTGTAATGCCAAACCCCTCAAAACAAAAAGGCTGAGGGAAAAATCATTGCTATAAAATTCTGACTCAGCAACTTGAAATGAATCTGCCATCACAGTTTATATTTTATATGGTATAACCGGGAGGGATACTTTAATGAGCCACAATCAATAACACAGACTGAAAATGTGTGTAATGTTTACAATACAGCATAGACTACAAGCCATGAGAACAAGGTATGATTTAAAAAATGAAATAAAACAGACACAAGTAACTCAACACAATGCAGGAAACCCAAATCAAGGGAGCCTGTTAGCACCATGCACACTAAAGACCTTCAAACTGCATTATTTATCTCTAGCAGTGCAAACATAAAACACCAAGGCACTTTTTAAACCATGTGAATATATAACCTGATCTTCATCCTGGCTTCCATCTGAAAATACAATAAATAGCACATAAAGCTATCACACCATTTTTAACCAGAACTAGACAGCACTCTTTAACTAGACATAACATTATAAAGCAATTAAACTTGTTGTCCATGAACATATTTACATCTGCAGAGAGGGAGTTTAATAACCCTGTGTATATGGATCGAGAACATGAACTGCATAACTGTGGGGATTTGGCAATTGATCTAGACAGTTCATAAAAGTTTCACTGAGATGTATTATTCATTTATAATGGCTGCTAAATTTTCACTGCACTCTACTTTCATGTCAGATTTGTTTTCATTTCAATTCGATGAGTGTAATTAGTTTGTTTGAGCCTGGGGAACAAGACTAGCTTAACACCCAGCAGGACGTTTGCTAATATATCTGCAGGAAAGGACCAAACACCCACTGGCTATGTTTCTGATGAGATCTGATATTTTACAGATAAAAAAGTGTTTAAATGTTATTTGTGAGACACGTTTGATGTGCATAGCCATGGAAAAGCACATCAGAATGATTTACTTTCCATTTCTGGCATACATTTTAAAAGATTGAGTTCACAGAAATTCACTAGCACTGCAAATTTGAAACTTCAGACAAGATCTTCTAAGACGTGACAATGAAGGAGAACAATGAATAGGAAAGCTTAGAGCCTCCAAACTCAATATACCTGAGTTCAAATCATCTTCAGAAAATGTTGACATGGTCACTATACTGAGTTGTCTTCTGGACTCTCTCTTCTCCCTTAGAATCTGCTGGAAACTCCTGAGGCACTTCAGACGACGTGCATCCCGCTGACTAAGCTCTGCTTCACTACCTCCTTCCGTAGAGGACTCGGTGGGAGGCTGCGTTTCCCCCGCCAGTGTTCTTTGCTCCTCTTCTACTGCTAGTTCCTCGAGGGAAAAAGAGTCTGGGATAATGTCTGTAGAGAAACACTGTGGTAAATGAGCATTGGTTGGATGTCCAGATGTAGCATCTGATGCATTACTGGTGGAGGAGTCCAACCCTGGAGAATTTGGATGTTCTGAATGATCAATATTTTGCTGGTGAGGAGGCGATTCAGGTTTTGCTTTGGTGTAGATGCATTGAGATATCTCTACGAAACCTTTCTCGGTACCGATGGCTTGAGGCTGCTCAGAATAATTCGTTTCTATTTGTGTAGTCTCCATCTCTATTTGAGGAATGTCTACATTTGGTGTCTCAGTATTTACCATTCCATGTGGTTCCTTACATGGGGAGATCTGCATATGGACTTCGACCCTTTCACCAGGCATAGTAGCACTAGCTCCATCCATCTTCTTAAGAGCTCCTCGCAAGGCAGTTTTGAAATCAAGAACTGCTCTACCAAACTTTTTTACTTTAACCGCCACATTACTGTCATCAGCAGAGCCTGGCTTCCAATCAGGGACATTTTGATTACAGAGTGACGTACCTTCATATAGAAGGTTTCTGGATGGCTCAACAATCACACTTTCTGTTGACTCACTTTTAAATGGGACTACACAATTTTCACAAGAAGACACGTGATTCTGATAAACAGAGCTCTGAGGACATTTACCATCTGCATTGCAATTATGGCAGCCCAAACCAGGTTCTTCAGGCAGCATTTCTGCATCATACAGCTTCCAATCTCCTCTATTGCTTGTACTGACAGGAGAGTTGTAGTGTTTACCAGATACTATGGATATTTGATCTGAGGTGCCCATCGTACAAGTACTTACAGCTCTTGATGGGTCCCAGCTGTCCACTTCACCCTTGCAGCACTCTGCCTCTTCAAAACGGCCTTGTCTGGAGCAAGAATCATCTTCGCTCCAACCGATCTCTCCACTCCCACTATGTTTTAAAGCCACTGGGTTCAAGGTCTGACTTTCACCCCCTGCTTTGCCATGTCCAGAGGTGGGTCTTTCTGGATCAGATTCAGACTTGGAACTCTGACCCGAAGATAGGGAACTGGTGCTCGGACAGTCCTGTCCATCCTGGCGCTCAAGGTAACCAAAGCTAAGCTTCCTTCTCCTTGCACCTTGAGATACATCAGACCTTTGATTAGATGCTTCTTGTGTAAAAGGATGATGTGCATTGTGGTTTGAAGTCTCAACACTAGTGAAAGCAGACTGCCTTGGTGCCTCTTTGTGCTTCCCATCAACGACTTGATATTCTGAGAGTATATCACCACAGCTACTTGAGGATTCAACAGTGTAGCAGCCTATACTATCAGTGTTATTTGATTTGTGTGTGTGGTGGGAGTGACCCTCAGTGCCACCCATTGCTCCTGGCCAAGTCTCTACACCAGATTTGTTTCCAGAACGCATGCATTCGATCTCCATTAGGACGGCATCTACACAGCTAGAAGTGAATGAGTAAGAGGTCATACCCAGGTTTGGCCCATGGATGTTTGTTATGGTCTCCATTGATATTCTGTTGAGAGGTTGATCATATTGTCATGCATTAAAACAAATATAAAATGTTAAAGCTTCACATAGACAACAAAAACAGCACTTAATAAAAATGTAGGAAATAGGGAGAAAGAGGAATAGAGAAAGCCATGCCGTTTGGTTGATTGAATTTCACCACCATATTCATGAATAGACAAGCAGAATGTTCCAGTCATGAGAACAATTCTAGTCAAGACAAGATTAGACATGCAAGGGCTCAGGAACCAAGTACTCAAAACTCTATAAAGTACACTTCCTGTCAGAAAATCACTATTTAATTTACTTTCAAGAAGCACATTATTATCCTAAATCTAACAAGTGAAAAGGATTTTTGTTTTTGATGTAAAGTAAATACAGAAAGATAAAGACATCTTTCAAAGAAGCAATTATATCAAAATTTGGAACAAATTAGAACAATAAAAAAGTTAGAAAATAACTTAATTTTGATACTTTTATATTTATAATATTTTTATTTAATATATAATTAGGACAAATTATTGAAAAGGCATTTATGCCATCTCTGTGCTGTGTCAAAAAAAGTGCAAACACACCATTTTATCTCTTAACTCATCATTTAGCAACAGGCTGTGCACAAAATGAAACATTTCTTATTCAAAAAGAGATGAATTGTTAATGCAATTGCAACAAAATCAACAAATTCCTTATGCAAAATAATCTGTAATGCCGAACCCCTCAAAACAAAAAGGTTGAGAGAAAAATCATTGCTATAAAACTCTGACTCAGCAACTCCAGCAATAGGCTTTAAAATGAATCTGCCATCACAGTTTCTATTTTATACAGTATACCTGGGAGGGATTCTTTAATGAGCCACAATCAATAACACAGACTGAAAATGTGGGTAATGTTTACAATGCAGCATAGTCTACAAGCTATGAGAACAAGGCATGATTTAAAAAATTAAATAAACCACAGACACAAGTTACCAAACAGAATGCAGGAAACCCAAATCAAGGGAGCCTGTTAGCACCATGCACACTAAAGACCTTCAAACTGCATTATTTATCTCTAGCAGTGCAAACATAAAACACCAAGGCACTTTTTAAACCATGTGAATATATAACCTGATCTTCATCCTGGCTTCCATCTGAAAATACAATAAATAGCACATAAAGCTATCACACCATTTTTAACCAGAACTAGACAGCACTCTTTAACTAGACATAACATTATAAAGCAATTAAACTTGTTGTCCATGAACATATTTACATCTGCAGAGAGGGAGTTTAATAACCCTGTGTATATGGATCGAGAACATGAACTGCATAACTGTGGGGATTTGGCAATTGATCTAGACAGTTCATAAAAGTTTCACTGAGATGTATTATTCATTTATAATGGCTGCTAAATTTTCACTGCACTCTACTTTCATGTCAGATTTGTTTTCATTTCAATTCGATGAGTGTAATTAGTTTGTTTGAGCCTGGGGAACAAGACTAGCTTAACACCCAGCAGGACGTTTGCTAATATATCTGCAGGAAAGGACCAAACACCCACTGGCTATGTTTCTGATGAGATCTGATATTTTACAGATAAAAAAGTGTTTAAATGTTATTTGTGAGACACGTTTGATGTGCATAGCCATGGAAAAGCACATCAGAATGATTTACTTTCCATTTCTGGCATACATTTTAAAAGATTGAGTTCACAGAAATTCACTAGCACTGCAAATTTGAAACTTCAGACAAGATCTTCTAAGACGTGACAATGAAGGAGAACAATGAATAGGAAAGCTTAGAGCCTCCAAACTCAATATACCTGAGTTCAAATCATCTTCAGAAAATGTTGACATGGTCACTATACTGAGTTGTCTTCTGGACTCTCTCTTCTCCCTTAGAATCTGCTGGAAACTCCTGAGGCACTTCAGACGACGTGCATCCCGCTGACTAAGCTCTGCTTCACTACCTCCTTCCGTAGAGGACTCGGTGGGAGGCTGCGTTTCCCCCGCCAGTGTTCTTTGCTCCTCTTCTACTGCTAGTTCCTCGAGGGAAAAAGAGTCTGGGATAATGTCTGTAGAGAAACACTGTGGTAAATGAGCATTGGTTGGATGTCCAGATGTAGCATCTGATGCATTACTGGTGGAGGAGTCCAACCCTGGAGAATTTGGATGTTCTGAATGATCAATATTTTGCTGGTGAGGAGGCGATTCAGGTTTTGCTTTGGTGTAGATGCATTGAGATATCTCTACGAAACCTTTCTCGGTACCGATGGCTTGAGGCTGCTCAGAATAATTCGTTTCTATTTGTGTAGTCTCCATCTCTATTTGAGGAATGTCTACATTTGGTGTCTCAGTATTTACCATTCCATGTGGTTCCTTACATGGGGAGATCTGCATATGGACTTCGACCCTTTCACCAGGCATAGTAGCACTAGCTCCATCCATCTTCTTAAGAGCTCCTCGCAAGGCAGTTTTGAAATCAAGAACTGCTCTACCAAACTTTTTTACTTTAACCGCCACATTACTGTCATCAGCAGAGCCTGGCTTCCAATCAGGGACATTTTGATTACAGAGTGACGTACCTTCATATAGAAGGTTTCTGGATGGCTCAACAATCACACTTTCTGTTGACTCACTTTTAAATGGGACTACACAATTTTCACAAGAAGACACGTGATTCTGATAAACAGAGCTCTGAGGACATTTACCATCTGCATTGCAATTATGGCAGCCCAAACCAGGTTCTTCAGGCAGCATTTCTGCATCATACAGCTTCCAATCTCCTCTATTGCTTGTACTGACAGGAGAGTTGTAGTGTTTACCAGATACTATGGATATTTGATCTGAGGTGCCCATCGTACAAGTACTTACAGCTCTTGATGGGTCCCAGCTGTCCACTTCACCCTTGCAGCACTCTGCCTCTTCAAAACGGCCTTGTCTGGAGCAAGAATCATCTTCGCTCCAACCGATCTCTCCACTCCCACTATGTTTTAAAGCCACTGGGTTCAAGGTCTGACTTTCACCCCCTGCTTTGCCATGTCCAGAGGTGGGTCTTTCTGGATCAGATTCAGACTTGGAACTCTGACCCGAAGATAGGGAACTGGTGCTCGGACAGTCCTGTCCATCCTGGCGCTCAAGGTAACCAAAGCTAAGCTTCCTTCTCCTTGCACCTTGAGATACATCAGACCTTTGATTAGATGCTTCTTGTGTAAAAGGATGATGTGCATTGTGGTTTGAAGTCTCAACACTAGTGAAAGCAGACTGCCTTGGTGCCTCTTTGTGCTTCCCATCAACGACTTGATATTCTGAGAGTATATCACCACAGCTACTTGAGGATTCAACAGTGTAGCAGCCTATACTATCAGTGTTATTTGATTTGTGTGTGTGGTGGGAGTGACCCTCAGTGCCACCCATTGCTCCTGGCCAAGTCTCTACACCAGATTTGTTTCCAGAACGCATGCATTCGATCTCCATTAGGACGGCATCTACACAGCTAGAGACCTCCTCAACAGAGCCACTAACAGATGACAGGTACTCCCTCAAGTCTGAAATCTCCTCTTGAATTTTGTTGATCCCTCGCAATTCCTTCAGAATGTGCTCAACGATAGCACTCGATTCTTCCTCTTGATAGTCCTCATTATTCCCCTCCACGACTTCATCCAGCATCGCCATATTTAACCTGCACAGCAAAGTCTCCGTCTGTGTTTTAGGTTCACCATCAAGTCCTCTTCCAGATGAAAACCTAGTCCCATTTAGATCTTGGGTCATTTGGTTTTGAACTACTGTCGAATTACTGTTGTGCTGCAAAGTGCAAGGAATTCTGATGCCTCCTTCTCGATTTAGTTCCACTTCCCCAACACAAGCTGCCCCAGAAACCGCTCCCAGCCCATGTCCGTTTGGCACCTGAGGTGAGCAGCAGACCTCTGCTGAAGCTAATCCTCTCCTGTAGTAGTTCTGCAGCTTTTCAACATCCTCTTCCCTCTCTTCATCCTCTTCTTCAATTCCAGCACAGTAAAGACCAGAAGGCTGGACAGAGTGATCTGCAGATCCCTGCAAGAAACGATGAATTTTCCCACGCAACACCAGAGCAACTTTGGGATTAGGCTGCCTTCTCTTTGGCGCTGAAGTTTTCTTTTTGGGTCGGGGATATTGAGGGACGCCTGTGCCATCCTGTCCATTGCAGCGGTTGCGGGAGAACATCGTTTTCCTCCCTTCTTCCGTACTGTAGAGCTGAATCACATTACTTAGGCTTGAAATAAAGCATCTGATGACATAAGTGAGAGATTATCAGTCGACTTAAGCGGGGCTAAATCCATGACTATGGGGGAAAAATACATCTTAAAGCATCACACCAGTGCAAATTTACTGATTTGGTCAAGAAAAGTACATGACTGATTATGCATTTGGTACTATACCTTCAATTTAGTTTACAGTTAATTTCCTCCCTTATCAAAGTTTTGTCATGTATTTGCAACAACACAAAGTAATCAACAACACAGAGAATTTATCATCTGCATATCTTCTGACTCACCCAAAGCGCAGTTTGATCAATGGTAGAATACACTGAAAGTGTCTAATTATTAATTTCCACATTACCTGGTCCAAAATACCATTGACAGTGGCAAAATTTATTTGAATTATGTGGAAATGTGCCCTAATTATATTTATGCCAAAATGAGCAGCTCTATTAAGCTGACTAGCATTTAAACACACTGAAAATGATCCCTTTGTTTTTATCTCGCAAACAAAAATCTACCACACACAAACGTTCACCTAAATAATGTGAAAATTAGTGAAGCAAACACATATCTAAATAAATCAATCAATCAAACAAAAATTAATAAAAGTGAAAGGAAATAAAGTAACATAATACTAGCATTCTAGCAGTAATATACAAAGACTGAAAATGCAACAGCACATTTGCCTTTGCTTATCTGCTGGAGAGTCAAGCAAGCTGACTAGCATTTAAACACACTGAAAATGATCCCTTTGTTTTTATCTCGCAAACAAAAATCTACCACACACAA